AAAAAGAGTTAGTGACACTTATAAGTGTCATTACACCATCAAGACTAAAACCTTTCAGTGACACTTTAATGTCATGGTAGGCACTATTCGTGACGCTATCAAGTGCCATTCATGACAATAATTCGTTGTAGAACAATTTGATCCGCTCTTGCAGAGACTCGAACCACCAATCTCTCGCACCATAAACCTTATACACCACACTCTTCCCACTACACCTCTATAGCACCATATGATTATATATGCAATAAATATTATTTATATAGTACATACATCTATATTAATATAAAAGTATATGTATAAACATAATTATTTTATTGAACATAATTTATGTAAAATAAACTATTTACTAGTAAAATAAAAAAGGACCACTTTTGGCGACTAAAAATATTTTTTGGTCGCCAATTCTACATTTTTGGCTACTAATTATTTTTTAGTTGCTAAAAAACTTAACTTTTGTCGACCAAAATCGGATTTGGTCACCGAAGATGCACTTTCAGTTACCAAAATTTTGGTCGCCAAAAATTTTAATTCCCGCTTTAGGATTTTAGTTCTCCTACGCTAAAAATAACCACTTTTGGCGACTAAACTTATTTTTTAGTCGCCAATTATAGACTTTTGGCTACTAAAATTTTTTTAGTCACCAAAAAGCTTTACTTTTGGCTACTAAAATTTTTTTAGTCGGTAAAACCCATATAATCAGTGACCAAATTTATTTTTGGTCGCCAATTATAGACTTTTGGCTACTAAATTTTTTTAGTTGCCAAAAAACTTTACTTTAGGCTAGTAAAAATTTTTTTGTCACTAAAACCCATATAATCAGCGACCAAACTTAGTTTTGGTCGCCAATTGTAGACTTTTGGCTATTTAAATTGTTTAGTCGCAAAAAAACTTTACTTTTGACTACTAATGCTGTTTTGGTTGCTGAAAGCTATACTTTTAGCGACCAAATTTTTTTTGGTCAGGAAATTTAGTCGCCGAATATGCTTTTTCCTATAGTGTATATTGAGTTTAATTTATTTATTTTTAATCATTTACTGCATTGTAAAAATTTTAAAAATATATTGGCATTTTTTGTTTATTCAAAAATGCCATTATAAGCTTGGAAAGTTTTTAACTTAGTGGCATTTCTCAAAATGCTATAAAATATTTGTTTATGAAGCTTTTCACCTAAGTGCCATAAAAAGTAATTTGCACCTACCTAGTGTCCTGACATTTTTTAAAAAATGTCATTGCTACTAAAGTTTAGTGGCATCTGTTGGTAAATGTCACGAACATAATTTTTTGTGTCATTATTTTATAAAATGCCATAAAATTGATGTGACATTTCTTTATTGAAATGCCACTAGAGCCTTATATGTTTGTGGCTTTGTGGCATTTATCTAAATGTGTCACCAAATATTATTTTTGTGGCATTTTCTAAAAATATGCCACTAGCATAGTGTCACTAAAGTGTGTTTTTGTTATAGTTTTGTGACACTTGTTCATTGAAATGTCACTAGAGCCTTTTATGTTTATCGTTTTGTGGCATTTTTAAAAAATGTGCCACTAAATATCATTTTGTGGCATTTTCTAAAAATATGCCACTAGTGTAGTGCCACTAAAGTATGTTTTTGTTGTAGTTTTGTGACACTTGTTCATTGAAATGTCACTAGAGCCTTTTATGTTTGTCGTTTTGTGGCATTTTTCAAAAACGTGCCACTAAATATTATTTTTTGTGGCATTTTCTAAAAATATGTCACTAGTGTAGTGCCACTAAAGTATGTTTTTGTTGTAATGAAATTGAAAAACACGTGATAGTTTGAGGGACCAAATGATATTTCCTCAAAATATTATGCACCATGAAATTGTGTTCTGAATTTTATCTCAAAAATAAGATAGATGGTATAAATTGAAAATTAGTAAGATGTCGTACTTGAATGATTATGATTTATAGATGTGCTTCTATACCCAATATTTTTTTAAAAAAATTCCTAATATTATTGATAAAAAAAAGGATAAATTAAAATTATTGGTAAATAAGATTTTTAATAAATTAATAATATTATTGGTTGCAAAAAAACACGTGCCAAACCCTAAGCATGCCAAACCCTAATATTATCCACTCATATTATTAATAATATTGATAATATTATTCCTAATATTATTGATTACAAAAAAACACGTGCCAAACCCTAAGCATGTCAAACCCTAATATTATCCGCTCTCATATTATCAATAATATTGATAATATTATTCCTAATATTACTAATAAATTGATAATATTATTGATAATATTATTCCTAATATTACTAATAAATTGATAATATTATTGATAAATTAATATTATTGATAATATTATTCCCAATATTATTGATTAAAAAAAAGGGCAAAACATGTGCCAAACCGTAGGCATGCCAAGCATGTTTTAAGCGTGCGTGAATACACGTGCCTAATATTATTGCCATATTATGCCTAATATTATTAGCACATTATGCCGAATATTATTGATAAAAAAAAGGGGGGGATAAATGTAGCATTACTACTTGTACTTAACAGGGATACATGTAGCATTACTACTTGTACCTGACTTTTTTATTTTTTTTTAGGCAAAATTCATTTTACTCTCTTGTAGTTTGACCTCAAAATACTTTACCCTCCATCATTTAAAAATAGTCGAAGACATCTCATGTGATTTTGATCATCTTACAGTTAATCTCATTATCATTATTTATTCCGTCAAACATGATAAAACTTACAAAACACGGACCAACTTTGAGAGTGGATACAAAAAGCAATGTCAAATTCTATTGTAAAAGGTCAAATTTACCCTTTCTTCATTTTCTTGCTACTTCAAAATCCAAACCCTAATACACTCAACTCCCCATCCACTTCCCTCTTCCCCAACCCCGTCCCCCTCTAACATCCAACCATTTTCTCTCATACTAATTGCTGCAACTCTCCCTACCCCAAATGCATGATTTGTTCATATTGATTTTTTGTTTATTTGCATCAATAGAATGAAGACGTGGGCAGTTGTAATGTTGAGTTAATGGTGGTAGCTAAGAAGTAATGTTGCACGTATTTTATAAAGAGATTAGATAGTTTTAAAGATTCAATTGAACAGGACCTCCCCTCCACTGATTTGCAGCCCCATTAATTTGCAAAACCCTAATAACAATTAAAACCTTCACCATTACCAACAATAAATCTTTCACAATTACTTTTCATAAATAGATATATATATATATATATATGTATGTATACATTTATATGTATAACTTTGGGTATATATATGTATGCATGTATATATTTATAGTTTAAATTTTGATGCTGCTTCCATAAAAATTCAATACGGAAACATTTTTTATTCAATTAAACACAAAAATGCAATAAGATTTCCATTAAAATTGATGGTGGTGCTTGGGTCAAATACATAAATGGTGATTGTAAATTTTATTTATTTTATTTTATTTATATTTATATTTATTTATTTATTTATTTTGGTTAATAGAAAAAGAAAGGGGAAATACACTATTACAGAGAACAATGGTAGAGTCAAGAAATTAAATCAGATGAGGCACTTATTAATATTGAAAAAAATTTCAAAAAAATTTTACATAAATTTTTACGATTGATTTCAAGAAAGATAATAATAATAATAATAATAATAATAATAAAACTATTATTTGTAACTAGAGTATTATGGACAGTATAAAAAAAAATCATGGATATAATTTTAAAAAAACAATTATCAAATGATAAAGCAATTTTTTATACAAAATTTGAGTAAAAATTCAATATAATAGTAATATCGCGTTATCATTGACATATGATATCACCAATCAATAGTAAATAAATACATGGAAAATGAACTCCGCATGTTAAATGCAACTAACAATCCATTAAATTCCATATCTTCATTAAGATTCATTATATAATGATAGATATCACAATTATATTGAAATTTTCATAAATAATAATATGACTTATCACAATCTTTTTATTTTCAATCAAAATAGTCATTATTGTTCTCGTAATTTTAAAAATGTTATTGACATTTCACTCTAAATAATATTTTTATAAATTTTTTATCTAAAATATTTTCTTCATGTTTAAAAAAAAAATTCCAAAACTCAAGGGACACGGAGAAATTGTTCAATATTCCCGGAGTACCACTTGTCCATATTATAAACCAATCACCAATTAGTTAGTCTCATGTTATTCCCTCATCCTCAACATAAATCGTGGGCACTTGTGTCTCTCTACCAATCAAAACCTAATGGAGTACCACGTGTCCATATTCCGAGAATACTGAATAATCATCCTAGGACACGTGACCCCGTGAGCCCCTCTATGCCTCCGCCACTAGTCAAGAAGTCTGTTTTTTTGTTTTTTTTGGTTAACAGTGTTAATTATATATTTTAGTCCAAAATTACGTAGGAGGGAGGCATTTGCATATTTTTAAAACACAGAGGCGTAAAGTGCTCTGGAGCATACATAGAGATATAAAATGAATTTCATACTTTTTTTTATATTTTTTTATACACCATTAGAAACAAGACCGGGAAAATTGTTCAATACTCCCGGAGTACCACTTGTCCATACTCTAAACCAATCACCAATTAGTTAGTCCCATGTTATTCCCTCATCCCCAACATAAATCGTGGGCACTTGTGTCTCTCCACCAATCAAAACTTAATGGAGTACCATGTGTCCATATTCCGAGAGTACTGAATAATCATCCTAGGACACGTGACCCCGTGAGCCCCTCTATGCCTCCGCCACTAGTCAAGAAGTCTGTTTTTTTGTTTTTTTTGGTTAACAGTGTTAATTATATATTTTAGTCCAAAATTACGTAGGAGGGAGGCATTTGCATATTTTTAAAACACAGAGGCGTAAAGTGCTCTGGAGCATACATAGAGATATAAAATGAATTTCATACTTTTTTTTATATTTTTTTATACACCATTAGAAACAAGACACGCACATGGAGAGACGGAGAGAGAGGGAGAGAGAGTGACCTGAATGGTGTGGTTCTTCAGTAAAGGATGGTCAAAAGCTGGCTGATGAGAAATATGGACACAGTCAATTATATCTCCATCTGGACTCTTTTTTTTTTTTTAACAAAGCATTAATAGAAAATCAATATATACATACATACATACATACATACAAAAACATGCAAATATATACACACGTATATATATATATAGAGAGAGAGAGAGACAGAGAGAGAGAGAGAAGCAAAAGGGTGTTGGAGAGAGGACCTTGATGGATTTAAGAGCAGGCTTGTTCAAGTGCTTCAACTGCTTGTCAACATCATCAAGTTTCTGACCAGAAATGCTTACTATGCCACCATAACACAGTGGCAACAGCACTACTATAAGCACCAATAACCACCGCCGCACCACCACAACAACACTATGAGTGATCATGATGATGAACACAATACACTCTCTCTCACCACTGACTTCGCTACTGCTTATCCTATAAGTTCGTACCCGCACGTGAATTCCTCTATAAATATCAATGAGGAATACAATGGAAAATTAGTTGTTAGTCTTGGAGCATATTTATATAGTTTTTAACGGATTCAATACTTTTGGTTAGTTTTTACTTTTTAGTAAAAAATATTGACAAGTGTCATTCTATGAATGGGGATGAACAATGCTCCAAGTTGTGCGCGATGTTATTTTAAAGTTTTGAGAGTAAAATTACTAATCGAATGGCAGATTATCAAATCGTGATTTAGACGATTTTGGGTAGATTGGCGAATTGAAAAATATTCTACCCAATTGCAAAACATTTGGATAACATATAATATTAATCTGCATAATATTTTTCACGTTTATAACACAAACTAATTTTACTTAATATGTTTCATATATATCATTACTAATTTATAACAAATTTTATATTTTAAATCTCTCTCACTCATTTTTACTTTAATATTTCATTAGAGGTCAAAAATATATATGTATTAATTATAGCGAAGCGGAGCGGTTTTGAAGGCGGATTATAAATTTTAAAATTTAATCTGCATTTAGCGGATAGATTTGTATGGATTGATACGATTTTAACAGATTAAACAGTATTTTTAACAAATTGGTCGATATTTTGCATGACCCTAGTTATAATAATAAAGACATACCTAAATGAAAACATTTTTCGAGTTGAATCCTACCAAACTATAACATTAATTGCGATAAAATGTTTTTTATTTTTTATTTTTTAAGAAATGGGGACACAGCTAAACAACTTATTAATCAACCTTTAAAATTTGACTTTTAACTTTTGACTTTTAATTTAGAGCGGCCCTATTGTTAGGACTAGCCTAATTTTTTGTGTGGGACATTTTTTTTTTAAAACTAAATTGATTAAAATGGCCTTCTATAATATTTTAGTAATCTAATTAAGAACAATTTTATCCAATTCCCAAAATATTGTCTTGGCAACAGGATGAATTTTCTTAGCAATAAGGTGCATGAAGAGGGCAATTTGCAAAAAATTTTGGGTGTATTTAGCACCACCAATCTAGAGGGTTTTTAGAGGCATCACATAGTTCGTCAAGATGAAACCTTTTTTTTACTTCATAATATTCATAATGTCAAACAACAAACGAACGGCTTAATTGTCTACTTCTGCATGATTACTTATAACTGTTATCTAATTTTGACAGTCTTATGTTCTGTTTTGTATACATGAAGGCAAACTAAGCGATGGGTTTTTTGGCAAAGGGAACTTCTTCCTTACTGATTATATCAAGAAGCACCTCTTGCTTTTCTGACCGTTCGTCAGCGTGATGTTAATGGCCTTTTTTGAGATTTGTTGTAACTTTTACTTCTTGGAATTTTAATAAAAGAGAATGGCTTCCTTTCGTGGTCGGATTAAGAGATACTGTTGGACACGTAAGGGCCCATCACAGATTCCGTTTTAATAATTCAAACCATTTAATGTGTGGAACTCGTCGAGTAGTATATGACTATAATAAATTACGTTGATCGGATATCGATAACTATGCGATCAAATCCGATTTTTGTAAGCCGTTTATTTTTCGCCATCCATTTTTTTTCATACAAAACGGATTTGATCACATAGCTATCGATATCCAATCAAAGTGAGTATTTACACGAATATAATACTCGACAAGTTTTACATATTAAATGATTTGGATTATCAAAATGAGACCGTTGGTAGGACCTCACTGGTCCAACAGTACCCTCAATCTGTGATTGGACTGGAGGAAAGCCACTCCCTTAATAAAATTATGCTTTCCTGTTCCAAAAGACAATTAAGATGGACTCGTCCAATCCCTGATTGAAAAGACAAGTGTGTTTGGTTTGAGTTTTTTGGATTAAATTTTTTAAAAACTGAGTTTTTTGATTTTCGTATTTTTTTTTTTGTTTTTAGTGAATATTTTTAAAATTTAATTTTTTTTTTTACTTTTTTAGATGTACCTTACTTAGATGTATCTAAAAAGTAAAAAATTTATGAAAAAATAATTTTAAAAAATTAATAAATACATGAAAATACAAAAAAGTGTACTGAATTCTAGTTTTTTTATTTTTTTGTATTTTTGGTATTTAGTGAATTTTTAAAAGGGTTTTTCACAAATTTTTTACTTTTTAAGTATATTTATGTTAGGTATGTCTAAAAAGTAAAAAAAAAAAATTGCTTAAAATATTAAAAAAATTCAGTAAAAATAAGAAAATATGAAAAACAAGAAAATATAATTTTCTGAAAAGTATTTTTAGAAAAGTGTAACCAAATCCTTTAAAATTGTCCTATAATATAGGAAGTATATTGCTAAGCAGTGTTAAATAGCCATTGGTCAAGATGCAATTAATGTTAAAATAATTACAATTCAAATATATATTTTACATCTTTTAATATATATATATATATATATTTCATATATTTATTTAATTTATACATATTGTATGTGTTGATTTCCAACTTTATAACCAAACATGAAACTTAGCTGGAAAGCACGCGACAGAATAAATTAAATCAAGTACATGCACACAAAAAAATAAGAATACGCTGGTTCGTCCATTCGGGGTACTCCGATAATCATGTCGATTGACTTATCTCTCAAAGATAACAACTCAATTAACAATGTCCAAGTAAAAGTATACCTTGGACCCATGGGGACGCTTTATTTTTATAATAAACAATGCTCTTGTCCGTGGAACCATTAGTTCATAAGACTCAAGCATAACACTGATCTGGAACTGTTACTTAAATAAGAATGATCCCTTTAAGAGTCTCATTTCTATCCGAACTAAGCGCCTCCACTTAATATTCAAGATTCCAATATCACCACACCACATCTCAAAAATATCTCAATAACCTCAGCATCACGATTTGTCCACATGATACCTCAACTACCCGCCTCGGCCACATAGACACTCTAAAAATATGTACCCACACATATATATTGAAATTACAACAGCGCTAAAATATGCCCCCACACATATATATTGAGATTATTCACCACCAACCTGTGCACAGTGGTTAATATTTTTCATATACAATGGCAATGTCAATGTGGGTTATATATATATATATATATATATTTTTAAGTCTAGTAGGGGCCCCTCCAATAGAACCAACATCAATAACATGGCCCCATTATTCACCAGCACGAGGCTAGTAGGGTTCCCTAACTTCTTCAAAATCGGTTAATAGATGATATTGATTGACTAATTGCATGGCTATAATTACTTAGCTTTAACTGTGGACTTCCAAATGGATTAATGTGAGCCTTTTACACACAATTTGAATGGTGTTAATTGATAGAATTTTTTTTTTAATTTTATTTATTTATTTTTATTTTTTTATGTTCAGGGTATAAATGTAAGTTATGTACGACTACAAGTACTAGCATGATATGGGTACATTGAAACGATAATTTTTTTAAAAAAATACGTTACAGTTACAACTAGGTACATTTGTAAAAAAAATATTTATTTTTAAATTGGAATAATGTAAAAATTAGTGAAATGGTTTAATTTGTTAAGATTCAACCTATAATTCATATTTAATACCAAAAGTAAAGGTATAAATCAAAATAAATGTCATTAGATTAAATAACTTAAAAACCATAGTTTCATTTTTAAATCATCCTAAGTATAAAAATAAAAATAAAAAGTCTAATGAAATTAATTTTACCTCTATATTACTATTTCGAGGTTTGGGTATATACTGAATACACCAAAAATTAAGAAAAAAAATTGGGTACATGTTTCTTGTATCGATACGTATACAAAAGTACCATTTAAAATACCAGCACACAGTAAGTACTTGGTACGAGTACGATATGTTTGTTGAAATACCCATACTTCATAATATGTAAGTAATGGTGAAAAATAATAAGAAATTGTGAGAAAGAGAGCTTTCTTCTTTTACCTATTTTATTTCTGACTAAAAATAATGAGTTTTAGTGAGAAACAAATCTATTGGTTATAAAATATTTATAAGGGTAAAATTCACTTTACCCCCTTTGATTTTGTCTTAGAATACTTTATCATCCTATAGTTCAAATATAGGCATAGAACCCTTTATGGTTTTGGACTAAAACACAAAGCAAATTTTGTTAAAAATAGTGACAAAATTACCAAAATACTCTTATGCCATATTCTCTTCTCTAATACATACAATTTTCTATCTTAATCACATATTTAACAAATTAAATTAAACCCTTCCTACAGCAGCCCTTCCTAGCACCAAAATTGTTGAAGCCAATACAACAGCAAAACAGAGCCCTCCTAGCACCAAGACAGCCATGAGCAAACAGCACACAGCAGCCTGCTATGCTTTCTCCTAATTGAGCTGATCTGTGTCTGATCTGTTAAGTAGCACATTTTCACCCTCAGCAGTCTACAGCTCGTGCACCTTTTCACCCCAGCAGAGCAGACTACAGATCACCCTCAGTAGACCAGAACTTATGCATAACATCATTTCAGCAAAGAAACATACTCAACCCACATAGCTTCAGAAAGACAACAATTAGCTACACACAGTGGCAGACCTAATACAAGTTGTATATAACATCATGCACCGAATAATTAAACCCCTTCAAAGACGAGGAGACCCACAAAGCTACTCTAGCCTTTATTAGATCTTCCAAAGCAATCCAATCCGGTTGTACCTTATTAAATACGCAGTCATTTCTGCTTCTCCACACTGACCACATAACTGCTAACGGCAATGTTTTCCAGACTACTAGCATCTTCTTCTTCATTTTTATACCTGGCCATGACAGAAGTAAACCCTCCACTGATCCAGGACTAACCCATTTGTAGTTCTACCAGTTCACTAGATTGGCCCACAATTTCCAAATGAAGTGGCAGTGTAGAAAAACATGATTAACAGTCTCCAGCTTAGATCTGCAGAACACACAGAGAGAAGAAACATTTGGGCTCAACACTCCAATTCTTTGCAAAAATTCCGAGCACTTAATCCTTCCTCTCCACGCTAGCCAACTCAAGAATTGAGCTTTGGGAGGGCTAAGTTGTTCCAAATACACCTAGTGACTGTAATATCTACCCCTTGA